CACACACACACAGGTCAAAGGTCAGTGAGAACACACACCAAGTGTCGGAGCAGCAGACTGATGGATGCTCTGTGACTGTGTGCTGCAGATGTTTGAACACAAACTGGTTCTGTTCAGGAGTGAAACCCGTCCAAAGCTCTCTTTCCTCTGGACACGATGCAGAACACAGCTGTGAACATCTGGGAGTAAAAGCAGCGCCGCTTTCTCCAGAGCTTTGGAGCCGAATCAATATTTTATATAAGACCTGATCCGAGGATTGGATCACCTGCAGCTCACCTGAACATGTTGAGAGGCTTCTAGCTGCAGATGTTCTGTCCGTAGAGACATGAAACCAAAACGGGTCAAACATGGTGAAACCGAGCAGCAAAACCACTGAAAATGGTGAAATCATGGAACACTCTGTGAAACGATAGCCGCAGGTTGTAGAGACTGGACGACTGTCAGTAGAAATACAGACGTCTGGAGTTCAGCTGAACAGATGATCAGAACCTGACTGTTGAACTATTCACAATGGACCCGGTCCGTCCTGCCGGCTCAGCTCAGCTCAGCGCATTAGGATTTACAGACCTGCTTTGAGCAAACACTCCATTTTTGATGAAGAACCAGAATGTTTCAGCTCTGGTTTGTTAGTTTTCCTGACTGAGTCTCAACTCAGATGATCGGGTCAGAACCTGTCAGACAGCTGGTTCTGATATGAGATGGAATCCTGGTGATTTTCTACAGAGAACCTCAGGGTGGTTCTGGGTTCAGAACATGACCGACATCCATGTTCAGTTAAAGTCTCATTGACAGGACGCTGCATGTTCATGAACACATGAACACGTGAACACATGAACACGTAAACACGTGAACACGTAAACACGTGAACACATGAACACATGAACACGTGAACACGTGAACACGTGAACACATGAACACATGAACACGTGAACACATGAACACGTAAACACATGAACACATGAACACGTGAACACATGAACACGTGAACACATGAACACATGAACACGTGAACAGTGAACGCGTGA